GCAGCCAGTGAAGATATCAAATACTGCGTAAATATGAAAACAATGCTCAAATCTTGTTCTTACAGCAGGTAAAGATACTTTATGCTTTATTACTATTTATAAGATGCTTTATTTAGAGGTTGCGTCACAGATTGTGCCTGCAGTGAAAAACACACATTGTCTTTATTTAGATGTAATTAGTAGTTTTTGCAAGACTTTCCAGATTTGAACAATGAGTGTTCAGGATAATTACAGTCTGTTTGACCCGAGGTCTGAATATAGAATGGGGCTTTTGTCATAATAGTGTAGTCTAAACCATCTGCAAGACGTCTGTATCCAGTCCTGGTCTTTCAGACGATCCAAAACATTTAACACAGGGTATCACGTTCTATTGCATTGAATTAAAAATAAAAATGGTCAAATTATTGCCCTGACATAATGCAGTTTTTTTTTCTTCTATCAAGCTTTTGATCTAAATATTTGTGTTTTTGTTTACAGAATGGAACTTCCTCAAATGCTCGTCTTACAGAAGTAATATCTCTGACATGGTAACACGTTGTTGTTAAAACTGTTTGGTTATTCATGTAATGTTTACAGTAGTAAACATGGTGAAGCTGCCAAAGAAAGTTCATCACAGCTTGAGAGATCAAGTCAATGAAATCACTTAAACAGAACCAAAGGAGATCATATTCCACTTTTGCAGTTTAACATGTACAAAACAATCCAATAGTTGAATTAGCCGTGTCTCTGAGAGCATCAGCGCTGCACACACCAGCTCCCTCAGCAGCAATAGTTGCTGAATCATGCAGCGTAAGACTGAGTTATTCACATACACTGCCAAAGCACAAGCAAATATTAGAGATATACAGACATAGAGCCCAAAACCACTCAACACGTAACACGAGCACGACTCAAAGCGTGCAGCTCAATGAATCAGAGGCTCAGAGCGCTCCACCATCTTCCTCTTCATACTGGATCACATGCTGGACTAGAGATGCAACTCTAGATGACTGTTTATGTCTGATAACCGACAGGATGACCAGTGCTGTAAATCTAGTCTTGTGTCTGTTGTTTAAATCAAAACTGTTTACAGTGACGTCCGTGTGGAATTGTGCATGCTTCAAGTAAAATGAGACAACAAAGCATCATAAAATATAAAATTACAAACAGTCTACTACTATTTTTCTGCTGTTTGAAGTGAAAAAAAAGTACAAAAATACATATATATATATATATATATATATATAGGGCGCACTGTACGGAGTAAATATGAAGGATTGATTTTTCACAGGTGTTTTACCATTTTGCTCTTTTTCTCATGATGATATATTTTGCACAAACTAAGACACCAGCATGATGCAGAAGTGCTGTGGGTGGTTACTAGGGTGTTGTTAGATGGTTGCTAAGATGTTGTGGGTTGCTAGGGCATTGCTAGAGAGTTGCTAAGATGTAGTGGGTTGCTAGGGCATTGCTAGAGAGTTGCTAAGATGTTGTGGGTTGCTAGGGCATTGCTAGAGAGTGGCTAAGATGTTGTGGGTTGAAAGGGCGTTTCTAGATGGTTGCTAAGATGTTGTGGGTTGCTAGGGCATTGCTAGAGAGTGGCTAAGATGTTGTGGGTTGAAAGGGCGTTGCTAGAGAGTTGCTAAAATGTTCTGGATTGAAAGGGTGTTGCTAGATGGTTGCTAAGATGTCTAGGGCGTTGCTAGAGAGTTGCTACGATGTTCTGGATTGATAGGGTGTTGCTAGATGGTTGCTAAGACGTTCTGGGTTGAAAGGGCGTTGCTAGAGAGTTGCTAAGATTTTCTGGATTGAAAGGGTGTTGCTAGATGGTTGCTAAGATGTTGTGGGTTGAAAGGGCGTTCCTAGAGAGTTGCTAAGATGTTCTGGATTGAAAGGGTGTTGCTAGATGGTTGCTAAGATGTTGTGGGTTGAAAGGGCGTTGCTAGAGAGTTGCTAAGATGTTCTGGATTGAAAGGGTGTTGCTACATGGTTGCTAAGATGTTGTGGGTTGCTATGGTGTTGCTAGATGGTTGCTAAGATGTTCTGTGTTGCTAAGATGTTCGGGGTTGCTAGGGTGTTGCTAGATGCTTGCTACAGTAAGATGTTCTGTGTTGCTAGGGCATTGCTAGAGAGTTGCTAAGATGTTCTGGGTTGATAGGGTGCTGCTAGATGGTTGCTAAGATGTTCTGTGTTGCTAGGGCATTGCTAGAGAGTTGCTAAGATGTTCTGGGTTGATAGGGTGTTGCTAGATGGTTGCTAAGATGTTCTGTGTTGCTAGGGCATTGCTAGAGAGTTGCTAAGATGTTCTGGGTTGATAGGGTGTTGCTAGATGGTTGCTAAGATGTTGTGGGTTGCTATGGTTTTGTTAGATGTTGCTAAGATGTTCTGGGTTGCTAGGGTGTTGCTAGACAGTTGCTAAGATGTTCGGTGTTGCTAGGTTGTTGCTAGATGGTAGCTAAGATGTTGTGGGTTGCTATGGCGTTGCTAGATATTCTGGGTTGCTAAAGGATTGCTAGATGGTAGCTAAGATGTTGTGGGTTGCTATGGCATTGCTAAATATTCTGGGTTGCTAGAGGATTTCTAGATGGTAGCTAAGATATTCTGGGTTGCTAGGGTGTTGCTAGAGGGTTGTTAAGATATTTTTGTTTGCTAATGCATTGCTAGATGGTGGCTAAGATGTTTTGGGTTGCTATGGTGTAGCTAGATGTTGCTAAGATGTTTTGGGTTGCTAGGTTGTTCCTAGGGTGTTGCTGGGATGTTGTGGGTTGCTAGGGTGTTGCTGAGATGTTGTAGGTTGCTAGTGATGTTGTGGGTTGCTAGGGTGTTGCTGAGATGTTGTGGGTTGCTATGGATGTTGTGGGTTGCTAGGGTGTTGCTAAGATGTTGTGGGTTGCTAGGGTGTTGCTGAGATGTTGTGGGTTGCTAGGGATGTTCTGGGTTGCTAGGGTGTTGCTGAGATGTTGTGGGTTGCAAGAATTAAAAATGTTGGATAAAAAAAAACAGTGCAAGCACTACTAATAAGGAATGTAGGCCTATATATTTTAGTCATGAAATCAAATGCTTTCTATTGACACTGAAACATTAGAGAGCTTGTGCATCAGAAGAGGGCAGATAATGGTTGTTTAAGGCAGATCTGTGTGGTTTTATCAGAAGCTCAGCTCAGGTTGAATCTACAGCTCTAGTAAACAATCCCAGCATCCATGTTTCACACGCCTTCTTCACAGAACCAGAGCTTACGGTGTTTCTATATTATGGGTTTTCATCTTAATGACCCTGTGCATTATTATCATTTTATTAAAGGACACGGATTACACAGAAACGGATTACACTAATGACGATGCACTAATAAGAATACATCTATTGAGGAGGATTATGTAAGGAGATTTAGATGTGTTGTTGTGAACATGGCTGGTGATTTCCAGCATTGCAGCAAATGTTCCTCCATCATGTCTCAATAACATTTAAAGGTTATCATCAGGATCCTCACAGACTGCAACGGTTTGAGTTAAAAATCTTCGTTTGTGTTCAAACAAAGTCACCTACATCTCGGATGCCCTGGGGGTAAGCAGATAAACATCACATTTTCATTTTTGGGTGTACTATCCCTTTAAATATTAATAACCCAGTACAAAATCGCAGAGCACAAAATAAACGAACGAATAACATCAAATCAAAAAGGGAAAGTATTTTTAAAACAATTTCATCTGAGTATAATGTCATTTCACTTCTGTAGTAGGATGAAAGATTATTTATTTGTTTGTTTACTAAACAAATATAAGGCACAAATGGATAAACTTATGAATGCATGTATTTATTTTTTTATAATTATTTAAATATAATTATTTTTATTTATTTGCAGTTGTATTTATTTAATTATTTACTAAACAAATATAAGGCACAAATGAATAAGCTTTAAAATTGTAATTCCCCTAGTACAAAATTGAAGAACACAAAATAAATTAATTTAAAAAATGAAAAAAAAGGGAACATTTTTAATAATTCTATAAAAACACGTATTTTCTGAAAAATAATAAGCAGCATAGTTTCCCTTTGTGAAACATTAATAATATTAAATATATTAAACATAAACATATACAATGCATAAGCACCCAATAATTAAAAAAGGAACTCATAAAATTACCAATACCAGTATGTATGTATAATTATTTAAATATAATATAATTTATTTTTAAACAAATATAAGGCATATAATCTGTCAATTAACATTAGAATTATTGTGTCTGATGCTGAAGGATCATGCTGTACAAGTACAGATACACATAACACACAAGGGTGTTGCTGAGATGTTGTGGGTTGCTAGGGATGTTCTGGGTTGCTAGGGTGTTGCTGAGATGTTGTGGGTTGCAAGAATTAAAAATGTTGGATAAAAAAAAACAGTGCAAGCACTACTAATAAGGAATGTAGGCCTATATATTTTAGTCATGAAATCAAATGCTTTCTATTGACACTGAAACATTAGAGAGCTTGTGCATCAGAAGAGGGCAGATAATGGTTGTTTAAGGCAGATCTGTGTGGTTTTATCAGAAGCTCAGCTCAGGTTGAATCTACAGCTCTAGTAAACAATCCCAGCATCCATGTTTCACACGCCTTCTTCACAGAACCAGAGCTTACGGTGTTTCTATATTATGGGTTTTCATCTTAATGACCCTGTGCATTATTATCATTTTATTAAAGGACACGGATTACACAGAAACGGATTACACTAATGACGATGCACTAATAAGAATACATCTATTGAGGAGGATTATGTAAGGAGATTTAGATGTGTTGTTGTGAACATGGCTGGTGATTTCCAGCATTGCAGCAAATGTTCCTCCATCATGTCTCAATAACATTTAAAGGTTATCATCAGGATCCTCACGATGACCTTTACATATCATTGAGGAGCATGATGGGGGTTGTGACTGAGCCGGAATATAAGATTAATGCTGCATGCATTTGCAGTATGTGTTGTTATTATTATTATTGTGTATTAATGTTTTAATAAATGGATGACTCACCTCCCCACGAAGTTCTCGAGCACGGAGCTTTTCCCGGCGCTCTGTCCGCCCACCACCGCGATCTGCGGCAGGCACACTGCAGTGCCGCTCTCTGTCGCTAGTCGGCGCACTTTTGAAAGTTAAAACACTTTCATCATTGCACTCCTGTGGCTTGGGATGAAAGCTTATTTATGTATTCATGCGTTTGTTTGTTTGTTTGTTTGTTTATTTACATTCATTTATATTATTTTTAAAAAAAAAATTTAAATCTTGTTTATTTAATGTATTATTATTTTTTATTATTTGTTTACTAAACACATGGAGCAACCTTAAAGGGATAGTTCACCCAAAAATGAAAATGTGATGTTTAAAATAAATAATGAAACTAGACCACGGTTTCGGCAGATGAGCTGTAATGCGCAGTCGCTCCTCCAGTCCTGCAGGGGTCGCTGTGTGCCGCCGCCGCTCATCACGATACCGGCGAGAGCGTGTTAGCTCGCTGCTAATGTGACAGAGGAAGCTTCAACAGGCTGCCGCTCGTTTCTCTGTTAAACTCATCATCCCGTCGGCAGAGTTCGTGAGTAGCTTTACTCTGCAGATAGTTAGGCGCCAGGGTTCAGGACGCGATCGCTGTGAGAGAGGTTTGCGGCTGTTGTCGTGTTTATTGACAGCTAGCTCTTAGCGCCTAGCACACAGATAAAGATCACGGCCGCGTCTCAAAGCTGCTGAGGCGCCTATCTAGACAGCATCCTGTGGGAATAACCGACGGGTTTGGTTTATATAGGGTGCTATAAATGCTGCTGTCTATGTAGGCGACGAGGATTTGAGACACGAGCTGTTGTTTAGGTGGCTGGGATTGTTTCGTAGCTGGAAATACTGCAGGTTAGTCTGGTTTAGCTGTTATCTGATGAATGGTTGGCTTCATTGAATTCGTCTGATTTTTTAAGTATTGTTTTGATCTGTCAGGCAGTTTTATATTACACTATACTGTTTTATATTGTGCTTTTATGGGCTTTACTCTTGTTGTATGTTTAGTTTTTCAATGCTAGTCGTGGTTTATTGCACAAAATGTTTAGTTTTTCCATTTTGTTGGCCATTATCACCCTGTTTCTGACCTTTTCAATTAAACAAGCTGGTTTTGTTTTCTTTCTTTTTTTGCTACTACGCGTTTAAATATGTAAATGACTCCTGTTCTGATTGGATAATCTCTTTCATCTGAAATAAGCAAATAACCCCGGCTGTTAAATAATGAACAGGTTGTTTTAATCAAATTTGAAGACAGAATTTGCACTGTTTTTGATGTGTAAGCAGATGAGAAATGTATGGAAGCCTATTTCTGCTACGGAATTAATAGAAAAAAATAGAAAAGGTAATTTTATTGTTACATCAATTTTATATATATTTTTAATCATTTTATAATTAAGTTTTTTATCTCACAATTTGGATTTTTTTCTCTCGCAGTTCTGACAGAATCTTGCAAGATACAAGAGATATAAATTCACTCTGGCACATAGATATATATATGCAGATGCCTCATTAGTGACTGTTTCTATGGGCCGTGATACGTAAGGATCTACGTATATATCTGTGTATATATATATGTGGCAGAGCACGTACACGCGTCACGCGCCGGATGTTGAGAACGCGCTCAGGACAGTTGGACATTGTGGTTTTTTTTTACTCTCAAAGTTCTGGGACCCATCCACTTCCATTATACGACTGACAGACTGCAACGGTTTGAGTTAAAAATCTTCGTTTGTGTTCAAACAAAGTCACCTACATCTCGGATGCCCTGGGGGTAAGCAGATAAACATCACATTTTCATTTTTGGGTGTACTATCCCTTTAAATATTAATAACCCACAAGCTGGTTTTGTTTTCTTTCTTTTTTTGCTACTACGCGTTTAAATATGTAAATGACTCCTGTTCTGATTGGATAATCTCTTTCATCTGAAATAAGCAAATAACCCCGGCTGTTAAATAATGAGCAGGTTGTTTTAATCAAATTTGAAGACAGAATTTGCACTGTTTTTGATGTGTAAGCAGATGAAATATGTATGGAAGCCTATTTCTGCTACGGAATTAATAGAAAAAAATAGAAAAGGTAATTTTATTGTTACATCAATTTTATATATATTTTTAATCATTTTATAATTAAGTTTTTTATCTCACAATTTGGATTTTTTTCTCTCGCAGTTCTGACAGAATCTTGCAAGATACAAGAGATATAAATTCACAATTTCAAGAAAAAAGGTCAGAATTGGGAGATGGAAAAAAATCACAAATACCTTTTTTTGTTTTTTATTCTGCGGCAAAAACAGAAATGCAGGATGAAAAACTAAATTGTGGGGAAAAGTCTTTCTGGGTGTATATCTTACAATTCTGCAAAAAAAAATAAAATCAGAATTGGGGGATATAAGAACAAATTTGTGAGATAAAAGTGTGTAATTTTTTTTTTCTGTTTTGGAAATGGGCTTCCATAATAGATGTTCCCATCTTATAATTTCAGATTTTAGTTCTAATCATAAGTAATTTGTTAAAATAAAAAAAATTGTCTGGTATAAAGTTATTATTACTAATGCAAAATCTTGCCTAATCTTCATTTCAAAAGCGTATAGAAACAACATTTTTTTTTTTTTACTTGTTCATGTTAAATCCTCTTACATTCACATGTATTAATTTATCAAAGCTTTTATCGATTGCGTATGCTCCTGTGTGGGAGAAAGGCGTCTGTTACATGTGTAACTGTAGATGCAGTGTTCTGTTTTCTCTCAGGTTGGAGTCAGACGTCAGGATGTTTAACCCTCACCAGCAGCAGCAGCAGCAGCAGTTTCAGCAGCATCTCCGGCAGCTGCAGCAGCTGTTTCAGCAGCAGACGCCTCCACCTCCTCCTCCACCCACCCATCACATCACACACACACGGTACCCCAAACACCTCGCTCAGATGCTCAGATGTTATTATCATGTAATGAACACAGCATGAGGACTAGCCAGCTTTGGACTAATACAAGTATGAATAACTGCAAACCAACATATGCTCTTAAACCAGCAAGCCATTGCAGAGTGATGCTTGAAACCACACACACACACACACTCTCACTCTCTCACACACACACTCTCACTCTCTCACACACACACACACACACACACACTCTCACACAC